TTATGGAAACTTAATGATAACTTTTTATTTTCAGTTTAATTTCTATTTAAATTATATGACAGTACACCAAAAGCCAAAAATTTCTTAATATATAATAGTATATCTAGGAACCCTCAAATTATCAAATGAAAAATTATTTAAAATAACCTAACAACTTATTAAATCAGTTGAGTATGCAGTTAATCTATAAATATTTATGGCTTTCCTGCATAAAAATAATAAGCAGTTATTAGATATAGTGTTGTTTATCATGGAAATTAATTAACTAGAAATACATAAATTCTACATGAACAAAAGTTTAAAACACTACGTAGTATGAAAAATGAGAAATAAGACTAATGAAAAATAAGACTAACCTTGTACCATGTTCACTATACCTTTTAATGTTAATCCTGTGAACAGTTCCTTTTCCATAATGGAGCGGTACAACGGATTAAATTGATCAATGAGTGGAATAAATTCAGAATTAGCTCTGAGGATTTAAAAAAGTCTAATAGACACGGTAAATCGTTCAAGGGCTGAAGTTCTCATTCATCACAGCAGGTGGCAGCACTATACATGATTTGATTTTACCACAGAGTAGAGGAAAGACGCGAAAGGAACACGAGTAAATGCTCATTCTGAAAGGAACTGGAAACTGAAGCTCTGTGCCTTAGGACTTCTGGCCATAAAGAGAACAATTTGTTCCTGTTTGAAATATATTTAGATTTATTATTTTTTAGAAGAGTACAATGAGACTTTGGAGATCATTTAGCTCAAGGTTATTGCTTTACTCTCAGACATCTCAGCCGAAAAAAGAAAAACAAATCAGCTGATTATCTAGCAAATACTTTGTAGCAGAGCCAGGCAGAACCAAGGTCTTCTTATTGTTTTTTCCAAGAGAGGGAAGTATGACTGAGGTTGACAACCAGGTTATGAGCCTTGCTTTGAGACTTCAGTTTTCATCTGTCCAACTCTGCACTTGTGCAGTAAAAGACACCAATTTACTGAGAGTCACAAAAATTATTTTGGCAGTTTATAGTCATACATAATTGTTGTGGCTTCTATAAGCCTTTCTCTGTGGTCTTCTACAAAACATGAATCATTTTGTTTCTCCCTGTAAGACAATGCAATGTCACATTTACTTAGTTCTCATCCTGTTCATTTTTATGCTATTCAGTCTTGTGTGATCGGTTTTTTCTCTTATGCTAAGTATTGGCCTTACTGGTTATTCTTCCATGTATACTTCCCCTTCACTTCATTAGTTGTTGATAAATACTCTCCCTCTCTTTCTGTTTAAGGTTGATTCTTCCTTTATCACACTAGCGATCAGCTGCACAGCAGCAGCTGTTTGAACATCATGCATATTTGCCCAGGGTTGGGCACCCAGAGGAGCATTTCCTCTTTGCATGCTGTTTGCCGCCTGACCATAGTGCTGCTGAGGTCTAGGAGAGACAATGCCCACATCACATCATCGGCCTCCACTGCACAGACCAAAGCTCCCTTCCTCCCTGGTCTCTCCTACTCCAGTCTGAGAAGGCAGCTGAGGACAGGGGTGACGCGGGCTTTGGAAGGAGGGTCACTAAGTGACAATAGGAGGTCAGCCCTTGGTAATTATGGGCCCATTTGGCTCCATACTTCTTAGAATTGCTTCAGTCTTGGTACTTAACCTCTGAACCTTCTAATGTTCTCAGCAAGTGAAGAAGCATTTAACTGAGCTCATATGATGTACTGAGACATATTATTGTATCTGCCAGAAAATAATGTAAGAGTTGGAACATATGAATTTTAACCCCTCTTATCACACATACTGCATGTGCTATTGGGGAGCAAGTAGAGCAAGTTAAATTGATCTCTAAGTGCCAATAAGAAAGAATTAGCTAATCCTTAAAGTCAGTATGCTAGAGGCATACAGCACAGCAGTGTTCATTGTACAATTCACAACAGCCAAGATATAGAACCAGCCTGTGTCCCAGAACATGTGAATGGATAAAGAAAATATGGTATATACACACAATGGAGAATTATTCAGACATAAAAAAGGACAAATTATGTCATTTTCAGGAAAATGGATGGAACAGGAGATCATCGTGTGTGAAGCAAATAAGCCAAACTCTAAAAGATAAGTATATGTGAAATGTATAAAAGGAGAAGAAGAAGAGGAAAAAGAAGAAAGAGGAGGAGGAGGAGGAGGAGGAGGAGGAGGAGGAGAAAGAGAGGAAAGTAGAAGGGAGGCTATCATTAGACAAGAGGAAAGGAATAAGGGGGAGAGAGAGTGGCTGTGAGGCAGGGAAATGGGGAAAGGATACGATCAAAATGTTACATGCATGTATGAAAGCACCACACTGGAAACTAGTACCTTATAGAATTAATATGAACTGATGAAAATATTTTTAAACAATTAGCTCATTCCTAATGTGTAAACTGTAAGCCTGGACCACATTGATAATGTTTTCAAAATGGCATAAACCTAAGAATAACCTGGAGTCGTTATTAAAAATACAGATTCCACAATCTCTCCATTGGGGATTTTAGTTCAGAAAACCTGGAGTAGGGTCCAAATTTTGTGTGTTTTTCACAAAAGAATCTCAATGATTCCTTTATTTGAAAGTATGAAGACTTCAAAAATTTCTCCAAATCTTAAATTTTTATAAAAAATCACTTCTGCTATTGTTACATCATAATCACCTTTGGAGAATCAGACACATACATGCACATCCCCACTCTGATGGAAAGTCACTGATTGGCAATAGCATCTGCTCTTTGCTGCTGTTCTAGCTGGAGATCACCCGTTGCCCATTGGGTCTACTCTCTACCCTTCTCCACCTGCTCTTTGCTATAAAAGGTGACTTTTAATGACTTCATCAGTGAGATCAGTGACTTCCAGCTGGATATAGCCAATGTGAGGCATCAACCAGAAATTAGAGAAAAGGAAACAAACAAACAACATCCAAATATTTTTTGGCTTCAACAGAAACTGCTCCCGATAACCTACAAGAACACTGTGCACTGGCTGCATCCCTCCACTGTGTCCCACAGCATGGTCAGGAGGTCCTTTCTTTGACATGATTTTTCAGAGTTCTTTAAGACCTAGGATTACTGCATTGGCCTTTGTAGATCCCCTAAACTCTTTCTAAGCCACTGTAAATAGCCCCTTTGCTACACATTCTTCAATTATCCTGTTTGAATTTGGCATCTCTTTGTGTCTGGACCCATACCTTTAATCTCTTTCATAGGTACTTTTTATACATTAAGGAATTTCTTATTAGAAATAATATAAATGGTAAAATTCAAATTTAGGAATAGAAATAATAAAATTTTAGACTTTGAATGGGATTTAAACTATGTCTACACCAGCTTACCACTAAATGCTGGGATCCTACATAAAATAGATCTGCTTCATTATTCATCCTGCTTCATTGTCACAACTTTGCAAATATTTCCTGGCAGTTATCATTTCCTCCTCTAGGTTAAGTATCATTAGTTCTTTCAGTTGTCCCTCATGCAGCTTGATTTCTCGATCCTTCCCCACCCTGGCCATAGGATGTGCTCCTTTTAAGTCATTCTGTTTCATCAGTATTATTGCTTCAAGTTTAGAACAACTTTGCAAAATAATCCAAATGTGGACCAGAATCTCACCCAGTGGAGGAGAATGTAGACTCCTTAACTAAGAGACACCTTGGGCTGAACAAGCAGTGACAGAAGGAAGGCTGTCAAGAGCAACACCTGACTCTCGGGGGCAGGGCCAGCTATGGGAGGAGGGGACACAGGGGCATGGGTGGTGGCAAGGGTTCCTCCTACAGAGGGAAGTACACCTTACCACAGTGCCTCCTTGCCTGTTATAGCTCCACTTCTGAATTTATGTCTTGCTCTTTTCTTTTGTACTGCTAGTTTTCTGACCAGAAGGCAATTTGGTCATTTTTGCAAAATAATTAACACAGAACCTACAGCAGGAGAGATTCTCTTGCTCTAATTCTCACTCCTAATTCTCACTCTTAAAGACCCTCAAAGTCATAGAATTTATGACTCATACGAATCTCACATTATCAAAACTTCAAGCAAATTGGAGGATCCGAAGGGTGAGGTCTTTGCCCAAAATCACAAAGCAACTTACTGCTAAATCCAGGACTAGAACCTGACTCTCTTTTCTATTCACTTCTCCTCTTTTCAGTTAATTTACTCCATTCTTTTACCACAGATTACAAAACTAAAATGAAGAAATTCATACTGTTAGTACCAAAGCATCCAAGTCAGACAGAGATAGCATTTGAATTGCACAATTGCCTTGAAAGTGTTGGGGAAAGATAGCTATGTGCACATTAAATTTGACACAACTTCAGGGGTGAAGCAAACCATCATTTTATTTAGAAGGTGCAGCTACCTAGCCATTGCATCTGACTCTCAGCCTGATAGTATATAAATCTTTCCAACTAACACTTTGAAAGTGATTTAGTATAGATATACACAGAGCCAGTCAATGACTACGAATATGTTGTCACTCTTACCTTCAGCATTGGACAGAATAATTTCATTGAAGGATGGTCTGAAAGGGAACTTTCCTAAACCAGACTCCAAAAGGCAAGCCCAAATTGTCAAGAGTTCTGAATTTAAATCTCAGTCTTCTACCAACCTAGAATGACCCAGTGTAAAATTTGGAACTAGCTACATAATTTAGAGCTACATGGAACTGCTAGTACAATCTAGTTCAATGCAATTTAGACGTGAAAATATGCAATTTACCAGTTTGCAAACAGAATTATGTCCTGAACCTTAATCCTGTGCTTTTGGAAACAGTGGGCCTATTTCTTGTGTGACTGTAGCTGTTTTATTTAATTGGTTATCAGAACAAGGTATCAGATATTCCATACATTTAATACATCATGAGATTCATGGTAAATATCTCCTTTATTAAATAAAAAGGGGAGAAATGTGACATAAGTGTTATCTTAGAAGTCTACTGCTAATTATAATGAATGCCTAGCAAACGTAAATTTAGGAAATTTAAACAAAATATGGAGAAATATTGATGATTTCTGAGCAGCTGATAGGAAAAGGGATAAAACCCGAAATGCCCCAACAAATGTAGATTTCCTGTAACTATTCCATGCTAAGTCATACTGCAAGAGTGATTCTGATGCTAAGAGAATTCAATAGTAACTGATCAGAAAGGCCCACATAAGCCCCAAAACTACCTATGAATACTAAATATCCAGATTCTGCAGATCAGTAGGGCAAAGTAAATTTAGAGCAGACACCCATGAGTGAGAGTGGCGGAGCCTCTGGTGCCTTAGATGATCCCAAACTGAGCGAGTTCATGCAGCTCCAGATGGCTGAAAGCCTCCCAAGGGCAGATCACCGTGATATCTGCAAGAGACAGAAGAGCTATAAGTTAAACAGGACCCCAAGTACATCCTCTTTGGCTCAAAAGACACCCTTCAGGCAGCATCTTCTCACTGCATCTCTCATACCTGGGAAGTTGTCTCGAAATCCTTGCAGCCCAAGAAGGATAAGACCAGTAGGGTGATTATCACTCACCCCCAGATGTCTCTTTTGGTTTCATTTTGCAATCTCTTTGTAGAGTTGACCGTGGCTTGACTGGGGGCACACTGGGGATACACCTCAATGAGCCTCCCTGAGGTCAACTATCAAAGAATGAGCAGAAGTGGAATTCTGATACAGTCAAGGATTAAAATAAGAATCAGTAGCACTTTAAGCGCCTGTGGTCTGGGAATCTGTTGTCTTCCGACTCCCTACCAGTCCACATGGGTCACTTGAACTAGCTCTTCACTTCCTTTGCATTTTGAAATTTCTTTATCAACTCACATATTGAGAAGAAATCTCAATGCATCATCTAATCCAACCTTTTGCTCTAGGTAAGACATTATTATTTCCCACTTACAGAGAAGCTGGCCGACACCCAGCAGGATCAAGCAACCAGCAGAAAGACACAATTATGTAGATGAGACTAGAGCCAGGTCAAAGACTGCAGAGCTTCCCTCGGTATAAATCTCTACATTATTTCCAATATGCCAGGAGAGTTAAATCTATCTTCTACAACCCAGAACAAATTTGCTGGTTTGTATACATCAAGCCAAAATACAGAAGCAATTTATCTAGAAGGATAGCTTTTTGTGAAGTGGCCAGAAAATCTACTTGAGTTCCTGGAAGTGGGATTTGAGTAGAAAATGCAAATGCCTTCAATATTATTTCCTTGGGACACTGATTTCTAGGCATCTCACCATTTATCAACTGTGTTGGATGGGTTCAAAACTTGTATATATACAAAAACTTGTACACGAATGTATATAGCAGCTTTATTCATTATTGCCCAAGTTTAGAAGAAAATGAGATGCCCTTCAATCAGATAAGCCATGGGACATTTGTAAAAGGGGATATTATACAATAGTTACTTATTGCCATATAAAAACATAGAGGAATCTTTCAAAGAAGCCAGGGTAGAAATGTTCTGTACTGTATGGTTCTAACTTTATGACATTGTGGAAAAGGGAAAACTAAGACATGGTGAAAGGATCTGTGATTGTCAGGGTTTGAGGACTGGAGGAAAGACATGAACAGATGTAGCACGTTTGGGGCAGTGAAAGTATGCTGTATAGTACAACAATAGTGAGTATGTGACATTGTGCATGTTTTAAACCTTAAGATATATACCACACAAAGAATAAAGCTATGCAAATTTGGACTTTAGTTAATTTAATAATCATGTATCAATATTGGCTCATCAAATATAGCAAACATGCCAGACTAATTCAAGATGTTACTAAAAGGGGAAGTGTGTACAACAGGAAGAAGAGATGGAGGGTATATAAGAAAGCTCTGGACTTGCTACTTAATTTTTCTATAAATCAAAAACTTCTCTAAGAAATAGTCTATTAATTTTAATAATATGCAGTGCTTACAGTTGTTATCTAATGAATGAAAATATTCTAGCTGATCGAAAATGTATCGAATGCGCTCAGCTTGTCGCTTCCTTTGTGGGTGCTAGCGGATATGTAAGAAGAGGAAGTTGGTAAAGAGTGGTTTGCCTGGTAGAGAAGAAAGGTTCTCCAGGCCCCACCCTCATTTTCAATACCTCACTCTGGCCTCAGATTGTCACTTTAATTCCTCTCTGTCCCATATCTCTCTTCTGAAAAATAAAATTGGGCTAGACAACTCTGAGAACCTTTCTTCCATAAAATTCTACAATTTACCAGTGTATGCCCTTAAGGTTGCTTAGCAAAACAATAAAATTCGCTCAACTTTGGGCCTACCCTGATTTCTCGTAGGGGTTTTGCATCTCATCACATAACCACATATTTGGGAGCATAAATTATATCCTCACATTTCTATGGCTTCAAAGGACCTGTTGCACTATTAAGGTAATTATGAGAACTTTCAACTGCTCCTTAAGGGCTGAAATGCATAAAAAGGTGAAACTCCACGTGCCAAGTTCTCACTTTAATGTGTGAGGCTCACCTGTTCCCAGCCCCTCCATGCCTGGGATGTCATCTCCAAACCTATGGGAAAAAATAAATAACAGAGAGATTACTTGAGATCAGAGTAAAAAGGATCCTGGAATCCCTCCCATGGAGGGTTTCTTGACCTCAGTGGGTAGAAGAGGAAGCTTAAGCATTTGTATTTGGAAAACTCTTTTATCTGCGTTGTGCTGAAGGGAAGAAAATGTCATCCCAGCAGGATTCAGGGCATCTGGGGGTGGGGGGAGGGAGAGACTTTTCCCTTTTAGAAACTTGAAGTAAGGCAAGTGAGAACCAGAAAGAATGATTAGGAGGACACTTCAGTAGACCTTCACTTTTTAAAATAGAAGCTGAGTCATTTAAAAGGCATTAAAATGATTCATTATCTGTTTGTTCACTGCATCTACTATGTAGCAGACATCATGATAGGCACAGAAAGTTAAAGAAAAAACTAGAAATTTTCTCTGAGGGGTTTCAGTCTTAGGGAACAGATGTAAGTAAATAAATGTAATATAAAATAATACCAGTTGTAAGAGTTAAATGCCATCATATTGCAAACATGAAAGTAATGATAAAGTTTGGTTAAGTCAGGAAAGGCTTCAAAAAGAAATGAATATATGAGCCGTGTGTTGAAAATGAATAGGAGTTTGCCAAGAACAAGAAGGGAAAAATGGAGAACTGGCAACATAAGATTTAAAGGCACAAAAATGAACCATGTTTTCTGGCACTGGCTGGTGATTCAGTATTCCAGATTAAAGTACAGGTTGTGTCAGTGTGAAGGACCAGTCATACAAAGGCCAGTCAGTGGTTATCAGGAAAGGCACCATTTTCCATGCCAAATGTGGCCACATACCTGGGTGCTGTGTGCGAATGGCTTCCAGGGCTAAAGACAGTTCTGCAAATACTGAGTTAGAGAGGAAAATAGAGGGTAGCATGGAAAGTTTTGTTAGTCTGTTTAATATCATGAGCATTAGTTTCTCAAAACCAAAAGGGAAGAAAAACAATGGAAAGCTTTCTCTGTCATTTTGGTCTTACCCTTTCACACCTTTCTTCGGAGGCTTGCTCTTGAATTGGCGAGTGCCTCTGCTTGAACTTGGGGGGTCCTTTGTGGGGGGTAGTGGGACCCTGGCTTGGTGCTGGAGTAGCCAAAGTAGCATTGTCATTCATTTTGACAGCGCCTAGGTGCCTGATGTTTCTCTTTCAGGCTCCCTGAATGGTGAGAGAAAAAAAGGAAGACCTTTCAAGTCACTCTAAACTGGGCAAGACAGTGCTTTGATAAAGAAGCTCAGTATTTTGTATTGACATAAAAAGGGAAAGATTGTTATATTTAAAGAGATTTGAAGAAAACATAGTATAAATCAATGGGGACTTTCAATATACTGGGGTGTAAACTGACAACTCAGAGATTTAAACACTTGAAAATTTAGGTATACATTGTTCCAATAAACTTTCCACGAGCATCAAATGTAAATTTATTGTAACATTATACTTCTCCATGACCACCAGTCCCACCATTTGTAAAGAAAAGAAATGGACTGATATCTACAGTGTTTTACAGCTCTCATTGGTTCTTGAAACTTTATGTATTCTTCCATATATATCCAGACATAAGGTTCTTCTACCCTCCATTTCAACATTTTCTCCTATCTAAATCATGGACTATACAGGGTGTTGTTCCCAGACATGTACATTGCCCTTTAAATATAAATAATAGAAAATTAGTCACAAAGATAAATTTGAAAAATTAAATATACTAAGATTTTGGATTACATTTTTTTTTTAATTTCTCCTTTCTTTTCTTTTACAACAATTCACAAAACTTACCCTGGGAAGGAAGATTCTGAAAAGCTCTGAAGAACTTCCAAATAGCCTTTACTTCTTGCCCTGAGCCAACCCTTCCTTAACCTAATGCCTCAAGCTTTGTTTGCGTAGATTACTTATTTCACCTGTTGCAGATTTAGGGTAATAGTCTTAGCTTCGACCCTCCCTGACAGTCTTTGTCTCAGGTCAATCATTGCTCTCTTTCCCACTTCACTGCACTTCCTCTCATCTTATATTATCTAACTTCAAGTTCATAACTTTTTCTTAGGACTTTCAAAAGTAGGTTTAAATTACTATCCTTGCTTCTAATATATTTGTCCTTTGGGGGGGGGCGATTTCTATCGTCATTTTTTCCTGCCTGTCTACAATATGTTCAAAAGAAATGCACTGACGAATCTGTGAGCTGGTACCAGGGATGTGAGCTTGGCCAGGTCCCTGAATCATTTGCTTGCACTATGAATCTTGTCTCCATCCCTCACTGGAATATGCTTCATTGGATGCTTTTTCAATCTGGGGCTATTTCCATAGTCTCAGCACCTATAATAGTGCTTGGCACATGGGGAGTATGCGGTATGTATTATATTGGTAGAGTGAGCAAATAAATCAATGAAGAATTCAGCAAATACCCTGGACCTTGGGTGATGAGATCCTGACCCTGTAATTTCTCTTGGATGACAGAGAAGGGACTATCTGGTCTTCGCCTCACAAAGCCCTCTGTGGCTTTAGGAAATCCACTGGCAGCTCCTCTGATCACTGGCTGTAATACTTGTGCTTTGAGCTCTCTCTGTCCCTGTCAACAGGCAAGATGTGTGCCTCTTCCAAATGTGATGGGGAACATGGGAATTGGTGATGGGCACCAGAGCCCCAGGAGACTCTGAGTGACCACCACTAGCAAATACATCCTGCCTCTGCCAAGATCCCAGGGAAAACTAGAAACTTTATCCCAGGTCAAGGTGGACTCTCTGATTCTTCCAAAGCAGTAGGGATCCACCTATTCATTTCTTTCATCTGGAGAACCTATTAAGACTAAGATTCCTAGATTTAGCACATAAAAATACAAGACGCCCAGTTAAATTTGAATTTTAGATAAAAAACAAATTATTTCATATATTTCAGAGTACATACTTACATTTAAAAATCTTCTGTTATTTATCAGAAATTCAAATTTAATTGAACATCCTCTATTTCATGTGGCAACTCTAACTAGGATCCTATTATGTTGGAGTGTGATAATATGAAGGCTTACAGTGATAATAATCAGTCAAATTACCCCTGGGGATAAAGCAGTATAGGGTGTGCTCTTTAGAATCAAACAAATGTAGTTTTAAATTCCTGCTTGGGCCAGGGATTTAGCTCAGTGGTGCCGCTGCCTGCTTTGCAAGTGGAAGGTCTGGAGTTCAATCCCCAGTACCAAAAAAAAATTCCTGCTCAAAACAAAACAAAACTGGCCATGTGCTTGATAAGTTGCATAACCCTCTCTGGGCCTCATTTCATATTTAAAATGAATCAAATAATATCTTCCTTTTAAGGTCATGGGGAACATTAAAGGAGACATTGTGAGAAGAATGTCTGATGCAAAGTGCTCAAGAAAAACCAAGTTTATAGCAGACCTTCTGGAAGTCAAGAAAGCCTTTGGACTAATCTACATCCCCCTGCCCCAGGACTAACTGCAGAAAAGCCCTTGCCATGCACCAGAGACACAACTGTCACCAGCACTTAATAGGCCACCCTCTGACTCTCTGAAGGGCCCCAACCAGTGACTTACCTTTGGTCTCAGAATTTTGTCTTAAGAAGCCTTCCTAGAATTTTATGACACCCCTAATATAGCCCCAAGAAATTCAACATCACATTTGACTTTCACATTACCTTGATTACACTTCTCCATTTTTCTCGTATATTTCCTCTGCATAATTTTGAAGGTGCACTTCTAGGATTAGACAGATTTCATGTCTAAGTGTGATGCATTGTATAAAATACTCCTCAGAAAGAGCTACATAACGGTTATCAGGTCAATCACTGGATCCTCTTGACCCTTGGCATTTGCACTATGGGTAATATTTATTATTCTGTGTATTGCATGCATGATGCTTCATTTTTAGTAGTATTAAATCTAAATAGTCCCTATAGGTTCTCTATCATAGATATATCTTTCTATTCTCTTTGCAAAGCCTTTTGGAAAGCAAAGCAAGTATGACCTTTTCCTGCCATGGAAGATAGTTTGAGCAGAGATATCAGCAAAGGCTAAATTCATCATAACCACGCTTTTCCCCGAAATTCAAAGGACTTGTTGGGGCCAAATAGCTCCATGTCTAGTATTAGCATTGATTTCAGCTAGAAGAGGAGGTTTTGTATTTTTCCCTCCAAATTGTCAAGTCATTCGTTTCTTTGTGAGGCAGAATATTTTCCTCTTTTTGATGCAATGTTAGCATTCCCCTTTTGAAAGGATAAACTGCTCTTCTGCAGAAAGAACTGGATGCAGCAAAGTCCTTTGTTCTGGTGGAGTTTGGCAGGGAATTGGAGTGAGTGTCAACTTAGACCGAGGCAGCAGAGCTCAGCTGTACAAAGCCACAGAAGACTAAAATCCCACAAACTCCAGCTGAACAAAACAATTGCAGAAAGTCCGTGAGATGGGCTCTCTAGCGCTGCGTCATCACACTAGATTTTCCAGTTCCCTTATTCTGAGCAAACATGTAGGCAGATAGACAATTCCATTTTGATAAATTAAGAAAGGGGGTGGCAGGGACAAGAGGAGCAGTACTGTTTCCTGTGCCGATGGGGTTGGGCAGTGTCAGGGTCTTGCTGAGGCAGAGAGAAATAAGTCATTTGGAGAGTCAAGAAAGACCCCAATCAAAGCCATTTTTTAAAAAATCCACCAATTACCTTGCTTCAGAGCGGAACAAACAACAAACACTTTAACCTCAGAGGGAGAAGGCTGAGCCACCACACCCACACCCACACCGCCAGTGGTCTGTCCCAGGCTTCTCTCAGCTCACTTTCTTCTTATCCTCATACTCACACCAGACCCTGAGTGCCTGGGACAAGTTTGCAGACACATCCTGGGAGTAAAGAACTGCATGCTCTGTGGTCATTCACCACCCCAGATCTCTCCTTTCCCAGAAAGCTGTTTGCCATGAAGCCACAAAGGGAAGGGTCTGTTTGGGGTCCCTTCCAAATGAACTTAGTAATCAAGATTTGCAGTGACCTTGTATAACCGAGTTTTCCTCATTAGCTTGTCACATGGCATTGCAAGATGGTTTGGGCAGATTTTCTTCATGTTTTCTCCCATAAACCCAGTCCCAGGCCAGGCTCACAAGTCCAGAACATTCTCTTTTTCTACTTGTTTTACAGCCAGATCAACCCTCTCACATCCTTCAGTTATGTGTAGTTCAAACTCAACAGAAGTTAAGAAATACGGAGCTGAACACTGTTCGTATAAGCTGTCCAGTTGCCTTCTTCATAATAGATGAGAAGATCTTTGCATCTTGATTTGTCTATCTGTAATTCCTTGATGCTACCTAATCCCACCATCAGGAGCTCAGATCACCAGCCCAGGTGGAAAGGAGTTACAAGAAGATGGGGTGAGACAGGGTAGGCTAAGGAGCCTTCTGATAATCAGGTGTTCTTACAAAATCGCCTTGGGCTCTGTCTTTTCACTAGACACTGAGTTCTCAAATGCACACAAAGTGTTGATAACCAATGGCAGATTTTCAGTATTTGATTCAATATCTTTCAGCCTTCACATCCACATTTAGTCCTGGCTACCCTCCTTTGTCTTCTTTCTCTGACATACACACACTCATGCCTACAATCACACACACACACACACACACAAACACACACACAGAGCATTCTACATAATGGGAGAGAAGAAGGTAAACCTCAGTGCCCCCCACTGCAGTGGGAATGCTGATAACATGAGAGGTGACACTGAAAGACAAAAAATATCTCTCCTCAACTCGTGTTGTGTGTACTTCTTCAGACAGATGGAACCTGAAATTCAGGAGTGATATCAAATTCAGTGAAGATTTGATAGAGAAAGTTCCCAAGTGATAGCTAGGAATTTTGAACCAGTGCTCCTTTTTGGAAATTGATTGCTGGATCTTCCACAACCATAAACTTCAGTGACTAGAATCCAGGTTACAGTCCGATTCCCTGGGATGCTTAGCTCAGTCATACCATTGCATTTAGCCACTAGTATTAATTGCTACATCATTTTATATTTTTAAACAGGTTTTACCTCATGCCATTAAACTCTTTAAATAGTTTCATCAGAAAGAAATTGCTACTGCTTATAAAATTAATAGAGGATTCAGTAGCAAATTCCAAGCTTGGAAACTACTTGCATACTCAATTATCTTCCTGCTGAACTAC